AAAAAAAAAAAAAAAAAAAAACCTCTTAATGGTTACAAAAGCCTCTTAATGATTTGGTGTTTAGGGTGCTCCTAAATGATTCAGAAGGGTCTTCTTCCATTTTTGCCCTCTCAAACTTCAATAGCTGCATGCTCCTCCCACGCTGGTTCCTTCTTCCTCCTTCCAATCGATGTTGCCTGCCATTAGTTGTTGATGTGTCAATCGTTCCTCCACGCTCGCTCCTCCTTCCAATCGATGTCACCTGCCACTAGTTGCTGTTGTGTCGCTTACGAGCCGTCTCAAATGCAATACGAGTAATGCAGTCAATCTGGTTCGGATGAAAGAAAGATTCTTAGCACACATGATGAAATACAAAGATAACAATTTCTATGTTAACCTTGAGAATTGACAAGGATATCAAGAGGGCTAGGGCGGGCAATGCAAAACCAAATCATACAGAGGGTTAAAATAGTAATTTGTTGTCATTCAAAGAACAATTACCAAACAATCTTGTTTCATTCAGCACTTAACCATTATGGCCCTCTTAACTATTCTGACCACTTAACTATTCTACACTAAATCATTCAGCAACTGCCAAACAGCCCCTACATGATCAAAAAACATGATTTACTCTTTTTAGATTTTTGTTTACTCTTCTATTTTCATTCCTTTTCGTTTGTAACCAGTGACGAATCCATAATTTTTGCCTAGTGGGATCACCTTTAAGATAGACTAAAGCCTCGCAAAGTCGCCCATGTGTTTTTAGCCTAATTACACTGTTTCGAGGAATCTTTAAAGTTTCTTGGTTAATTTCAAGGTTTTTTTGATGCTTTTGTCGATTTCGAAGGACTTTTTCAGTTTTGTTGATTGATTTCAATCAAAGTTTTTGATTTTTTTAGTTGATTTGAAGAGACTTTTTTGGCGTCGACAATGATCGGCTAGAGTTATGAGGTCACTTGCAAAAATTTACTGGAAAAACTAAGTGAAAAGTTAAAAAAAAAAAAAAGTACTTTTAACCCCTTGTAGTTTTGTTTTTCAATGGGGTTCCTTCCCCACACTTGTTCCTAATTAAGTCGGTTACTCCTTGTAAAATCATAAAATAAAACAAAAATAGTAATTTTTATTGTAAAGATGCTTATTTGTTCAGTAGATCCTTATAAAGAGAGTGTTTGAGACTGCTTTGCGTTTTTTTTCTTCACAAAAGCATTTATCAACATATTATAAGTCAGAAGAGTTTAACTTATTCAAAAACTACTTATTACCGGTTTGACACTAATATAAGTTATTTATCCAAGCACTCATAAATGTTTATTACTGATGTCACACTGAAATAAGTCAATAAGTTGTTTTTATAAACAATCCCAAACACCCCAAAATATTGTTGATGGTTTACATTTTTTAGTTTTGTCTTATTAACAAATATTTTCATTTTTACTATTAATTAAATTATATACTAAATCAAATATAATATTATTTTTCCTTAAAAAAATACCACTTTATTTAGAGGTGTCTTTTGGTGGGATACCATTTTACAACTTGCCATTATCAAATGGATATTCCTTTCTCATAAAGGTTATATATCCCTCACTTTAAGTGAATGGTCATTATTCAATATTAATGTTTAAAAAATACAGAAAATAGAGATTTTGAACCAATATTTTGCTTCAATAGTTTTTCTAAAATAATGTTTAAAATAGAGAAAGCGGGAAAGAGTAGTGTTTTTTCCTTAAATATGGAGATAATCCCGAAAACAATTACCATGTAAGATCACCGGTACAAAATTTAGAAAATAAATATTTAATAGATGAATAAAATATTTTAATATTATAATAAATGTTGGATTTTTCAAAATGGAGAATCTGTTGAAGATCAGGGATTCAAACATCACCAAAGCTGAGGAGGGGGTGTGAGTTTATTTGTTGCATTTGTCGTATATAAATATTATATACTTCAAAAAAAAATGAATGTGATTTTTTAAGAGATTTTGACATCTGGTTCTCCATTTTGAAGAATTTGTTGGAGATGTTCTGAAAATTGTGTACAACGAACAAAGGTAGACCATCAACATTGTACTCGGTTATGTAAGATATTTGGGCTTTGAACTCCAATTCAGAAGTACTGTAAAGTGTTTGTACATGATTCTGCTATAGTAATAGTTCAATAGATGCAAAAATATGTGCCTGAAATATACTCGATATATATCAGATATGTACTTGATGGATATAAAATAGCTTTTATATCTTCAATTATAATGAATAGTATGGATTGGTTTACCAACTTGGCTACTCCACTTTTTCTGATCCCATCCTGGACTGGGACAGGTTATTCCACTGTTTGATGCTCTTTACTGGTAGAAACGAATCGATTTGTACAATGTTTAACTTCACACCTCCCTTTTGCAGTATCTTGGATGGGATGTATCGTTACGAAGGTTCAAATGCGATGACTTCGGGCTATCTGCAAAACAAGTGGTCTTCCTGAGATTAGTCGGCTCGTATAGCGGGTTGGATATCCAGGTTAATAAAAAATTATTATTATTATTTGTGTTATAACGATTAAAAAAACATATAGAATCCACCATTTTTCAGGGTCAAACGAAGTCAACAAGAAAATATGCCACCACAAATCCACGATTTATGTGTACCATCAAATTTATAAATGAGCCAATGAATATTTCGGTTACGCAATAGAGGTTGTACCCTGGTAACCTTCAAAGGTACAAGTTATTAATGCGTACTACGCATTTTGTACAACCAAAACCAACGTGCACAAAAACAATGCTAGAAACGTTGAAATTACGATTATAACCCTAGGCATTTTTCCTCGATCACTTCTCCACACCATGGCTTCATAAATGGGCCAAGAATTCACTACCCCAAAACAAGCCAGGCCCATTTGCCCAAAAAGCCCATCCATATTTTCTCCCATTAAAGTTTGCACAATCCCGAATGCGATTGTGATGGCGTTAACAATCGCAACCGTCGCTAGGGGGACAAACATTGGTGACGGAACACCAAACTCGAAAACCCCATTATCGTACCGCTTGCTTTGTTCAGTGTCGACCACTTTGCTAGTCACATGGAAACCTTTTGATGCGATTCCGAGGCGTTTGATCGAGAATTCGACGAACCCAAACAAGTATGATGAGAGACCTCGTATAAGCCACATCCGTTGATCGTTCCACCATTGTTGGAATGTCCCGTGGGCCAAAATGAAATCGAGACAGTCTTGTATGTTAGCTCCAAGAAAGAGAAAAACGTATAGAAGAAACCAGATACTCGTGACCTACATTTTAATCGTCACAAAATTAACGCTTTCTGAGTCAATCAAAAGGCAAAAACTGTCAGTTTACGTGTATAAATACCTCTGGGAAGACGGATAAATGGTTGAGAAGAGCTAGTTGTGGGACGAACGAGTATATGATGATTGGAATCGACCAAATGGGCCAAAACGCATTGTGTGCATAAGCAAGGCCCATTAGAGGGCCCATGAAGCGCGATCCAAATGTTAACGGGTTATATTCTGAAAATACAACCTCTAGGAGCCCGATGCACCACCTTCTATTCTGGTTCAGTGCATCATAGAGGGAAATTGGTAGATCACCCAAAAATGCGGGCCTCCTAGGATGGAAGAATAACGACTTCCATCCCCTGCAATGTTGGTGGAGGCCCGTAAAAAAGTCTTCCGATAACGATCCATATCTGAATCCCATCTGGAACAATATAATGGTAAACTATCAAATGTTATTATTTGGCAAACAACACGAATGATGAAATTTAATGTATCCTTTTCAACTCACCTTCGATCCCCAAAGCGAATCGTTTTCGTAATTCGAACCCGCAACTTCATGGGCCAAAGTTAGAACTTCATGGTTTCTAATGAGCTTTTTTGCTACATGTCCAGGATGGAGTTGAGGGCCTTCCGGCAATTCAAGTGACGACGGGCCACCAAAGAACACTCGACGATCAAAAAAACAACCGCTCCCAACATAACACGGGCCCCGGAGACCATCCATTCCCC